ATTAATAATGAATTTACGTAACTTCCGTCCAGGTGACGGGTACTCCAACTAGTTACACAACAAATAGTATTGTGTCTCAGTTCTAATTTTGTTACATTACTTATATTTATTTCTAGTCACTTACTCCTTTCAACTTGTTAGACGTGGATTTTTTAATAGTTAGTGTAGTTCTATGTACTTGTAAATAATACATTATTTTACACGTAATTTCCATTATAATTAATAATGGCTACTGATAGAGTTGTTCAATTCGATATAATGCGCCATCTGTTGTACGTTTTTTCTGTTTATGGTACAGTTTATTGTTGTATTAAGCGTAACGTTATTTTAAAATTGTCTTTTTTTGCTTTACGAATAGCTCGTAAATGAGCTTGAACGCTTTCGTTTAATAAAAACATTGTGGGATTAGCCCAAACGTTTCTTTTACAATTTTTCCACAACTAAAAAGTTAATCTCAAAACTTATATGTGATAACTTATCTCCAGACTAAATTAAACATCTATCATGTTTTTCCATTTTCCAAAGTTGTGGTTCTAAATAAGGTACATTAGAGTTAAAAATTAAGTGATTTCAAAAAGCTTCAAAGTTTTCGTACATTGATAAAAATACGAGCTATAAGGCTCAAGTTAGTTATAATTTTTATTTTCTGCCAAATCCTCTCGATTTGTGCATTGAGTAGAGATGATTAAAACCTAGTTAAATTTAGCATTGTTAATGTTTGGATTAGAAGCAAAAAGAAATTCGCATTGAACACAATATATTTCCAAAGTCGTTTCAGCCTAGGGATTAAAAAATGACTCAATTCAAACCAGATAAATACGAACTGAGTTCACCTTCACTATCCTTAATGTGATTTCATGAGATTAATCTTGCTTTTATTTTATAACAGTCACATTTAATGTTTCAACATGTTTTGATGAAAGCCTTAATTCTATGTTCATTAGGAAACCCAGATTAGGGTTAGTGGCTATTTTCTTTCTTCTGCTCTCGTCTATTTTGGGTTCATCGTTGCTTACGTGGTATTACCAGCTACCACCGACATTATTTCCTGCTATGATGAATAGAAGGTATGGTTACAAATTACTCTGATTTAAATATGAAGTAAGACACGTTGTATATTACTGTTGTGTAAAAGGTTGAAATGTAAGACATCTTGAATATTAATATAATGTATATTTTCAAAATAATGACTATTTAAATGATTATAACAACATTCTGCTTCTGTTAGGGCAATTACACAATAACTATTTAGATATAAGGGTACCATACAAATAAGTAATTGTCATTACTGCAAGAAGAGATGAGTTTATATTCAGCCTACTTGATAGTTTTCAATTCTTTAAATCAAAAGAATTTAG